AACTTTCTGATTAACAATAAAAAAGGAAAAACTTAAATTCCAATATGAAAGTATTTTTTAAATTTTTTTGAAAACTGGAAATTTCACAAACTAAACATGATATAAATACTAAATCAAATGATACACTGAATGAATGTTTTTTTAAGCCAAAACTAGACACTATTTAGTAAACTTGTACTAAATTTCATGCAATTTTGATAAGTATTCTTACTATGAAAATAGAAAAAAATCAGAGGATAGCAGTGACACCCATTTCAGAAAGGGGTAATTTTTTTCTTCCTCTTGAATATCTCATTTTTGCAAGTCTGCATCAGGCATTGTTTCATGATTTGTAGTAAAACTTAGCTCCCATATATACACAAGGCTACACCTATCACAGATCTTCTGAGCTCTTAAAAGCATTTTTAATTTGTCCTTTGGCTTATTTTACCAGAGTTTCTGAAGTGTTCCAGACACATCCAACAGTATTACAATGTAAGATTCAAATTTCTTTATAATTCTCAAAATGTTAAACTAGATTTCTGAATAGATGCAAAACTTTCACTACTGTTATATTCCATTATATATAATACATTAGCTCTTTGTCCAAACTGGGTTCACAAAAAGAGTAGGACTTTTCAATCAATCTAGTAAAGTAATTTACAACTACACTTGAGTAAATTGCAACATAATGATGTTTAAATTTTTTCAATACAATTTTTAAAAACAAAATGAATGAATGATTACAAAGCACTAGTTTTTATTGCTTTTTTTTTTTTATAGTACTTACAGTATATATGGTATGGGAAGAGGATCCCTTGTAGGCAGCATCGTAAATCTCTCCATCCTTCCAATGTACTCTCACATGCTCATTGAAGGCAGGTGGTCCATCATTTTCACAGTCTCGGCTCTATTGAGGAAAATGAATTAGTAAATTCTTTTTTTTTTAATATTTCTATGAATCTTAAAAATTATACAATACTCACTGTAAATTTCTCTCTGAAGCTATCTTAAAGCAATTCTTATTGCTTACTTGTGATTTATTTTCATGGCATATTTTGAGCACTTCCAAGATATGAAAACAGCAGCATTAACAAATTTTTTAAACCAGTAATTATTCATTGGCTTTACATAAAACATTCTTGCAAATATGTTTCAAGAACTGCTTTTCTTAAATTTTACATTTGTTGTAAATACCCAAAATGAATTACAGTAACAAACATATGAAAGAAAACATCTCTTTACTCACTATAATATCTTTGGGATAAAGATTGTCACTAAATGAACCATCTTCAAAGTCCACAGAATAGAATAATTGAGTGCTAATGTCAACAATTTCACTGGGATAATATCTGCCGTTTTTATGTTTTGCAATAACACTAGCACCAACTTTTACTTCTGATAACTTTCTTTTTGCAACCTGAAAAAGATAAAACTTTTACCAAAAGATACAAAACAACTGAAGATAAATCACATATTTCACCAAGTGCTACTAAAATTTTTACATTACCTTTCATAATTGTAAGTTATTATTATTGTCAATAAATGCTAAAAACTGTATACAATTTCCTCTAAGACCATCAGTATTTAATTATTTGTTTTATGTCACAGCTCACACTGGCTAGCCATTATGTCTGACCATCATTCTTTTTACATATAATATGCCACAATATACATCTTATAAGTATAACAGTGAAATAAGCAGACTGTAACAAAGATTTTGGTATAATTTGCATAGCTCATATTTTGTAATGGAAAAGCAGAAAAAATAATTACAAGTACATAAAGATTCTTCAGCCAATAACCTCTATCTTCAACCTGCAAAAGTTAATGTATAATCACATTTACTTCAATCAGTACAAGATGAAGAAAACCTCAATGTCATATACAGTTTAACCCTATCAAAACAGGTTTTGCTATGGGTAGAGAACAGAGGGCATGTCATCACATTTGTAGACTTACATCCAAAATTTTATTGAACTACTATTTTATTAATGTATGTCAATAAGTTTGCCATCAAAGTGTAGATTATAATTAAAATTTTAGTATTATACGTTAACTTCTTCATTTGAAAGTAACTATAAAAAAAATAGCAAAATATTCTGTAGGAAATGTCTGCTTATTGGTCCTGTTGAAATGATAATTAACACTGAAATACCAAAATAAAGTTTATTGGATTGGCCTGAACTTTCTACAAAGCCATAACATAAACATTTTATAATACTTTAGACAATTCTCATTGCAACCATTATACTGTCAACAAGTTAATAAATCCTACCCCACTGTGTTTTCAGAGCACAGAGAATTCTGGAAAATTGTACCACAAAAGCTTATTTGATATTGACAGAGTCAAAGTACTCAAAGTATTGTAACACTTAAACAGGAATGGTGATTTATTGTTTTATATTCAGCAGGTTTCTATTTCAGCTGCTAACAGTAGAATAAGCATAGGAAATAGGTATAAAAAGATTAGAAGAAACTCTCAGGAGATTTACTTGGAACTTTGTTGTCCATACTGAAAAGAATAGACCATACTATTCAAATAACTACAGAAAATAAGTGTGAAAAGGTGAGAAGTATAAACTCTGACCATAAGTACTGTGAAACTTTGTGATCAATACTAACAACACTATATATTTCAGTTTGCACTTTGCAACCTTTATTTTCATTATACTTTGATTACTTATCTACAACCTGGAGAATCAAGTAAAATGTTACAGTAGAGAAAATTACAGATAACATATATAAAGCTTTACTGAAAAAAAAAAGTTTTATATTTAAATACAAGGTTTTTTATTTTTAATTGTTTTCACTATTTATTATTATAAAAGTAACTAAAATGTAAAAAAGCAGAAACCTATTATGTAAGATTAATTAAAAAGAAAAATATCTTCATGAGGTCTGTTCACCAGCAGTTTGTGCATTACGCTATTCGATATAAACATGACCTGAACATGTACCATGTGATTTTCAAGTTGTGTCGGGGTATTTTTAGTCAGACATGGTTCAAAAGTCAATAAAACAAAAAATTAATAAATATAAGTAGATGTATACTACTATGAGATTTAAGCTATTTAGAATAAATATTTGTGGTTTCCTGTTACAATTTGCAGTTATTCTAGAACTAAAAAAAAGAGGTAATTTAGATGTATTTCCAAATTTTTATGATGGTTACAAAGTTGGTCGAATCGACCAACATCATATAGAGTTAAGGTTGATAAAATACAAAGTTTTATTCAAAAAAAACATTTGATGATTATCTTGGAGGATAGAGATTACACAAATTTTCAGATAAAGAAAAGTATTTTAAAAATTAAAATTACTTTGCACATTGGATAGTCAGCATTCTTATCATTACATTGAATTAAGATTAAATTTTGATCTTAACTTGTATAAACTCAAAAGCTTGATGAAAAGATTTCAGAAGTACCAAATTTCTTACATTTTATTTTGTTACCTATTGAGAATTTGAAATAATCCAAAGCCATGTTAAATATTTCAACTTTTAATAGTTGAAATGTATTCTGGATTTAGTGTTTAGAAATATGCCGATATTTTATTTAATTTACGCTATTTGCCAACAAGATTGATTCACACTGTTTTTGCTTTGACACAAATATGTTTATATATATATAAACAACAGTATAATTTACAATTTACGATTAATTATTACCAACACATTTCATAAACAGAAATTTTACTAACTTACAAATAGCCTAAAATCGTCTTCCTAGTTCAAAGTCTACTTGATATCCAGCGACTTAATTTGAAGTCAATGTACGTACAATTATAGGGGAGCTAGCTACCTTTGTCAGACACTGAATTCTTGAACCGTCGAAGTAAGATAATATTTTCATAAAACCACTAATATTTTTG